AGGCCGGTGCCGGCTCAGGACGCTGCCACTGAGACCCCCAATTCCGGATCCCCATCATTTCCCGGGGACTCACGGCCCAGGGTGCCTCGCCAGAGCCGAGACAAGAACTGCATCGTGGCTTGAAGGCTCCATTCTCCAGTGTCCATGACCTCTGCCCTGCACCCCCCCACACACACAATTTAAAGTCAAAAATCCCCTTCCTCTTGCCTCCATGTGTTTGTATCATTGAAGTAATTTAATATTTGTTGTAAAATAGGTCTGGCTTCTTTACCTCCTTATTCCAACTGTCATTTCCCCCCTTCGGCTTAAGATTTACCACCATTTGACTCGAAGGATTAACTTACTCATTATCGTATATTTTAACAATGTTTATTATTTCTGTATCCTTCCACAGAACCACCCCCCCACACACACCCACACCCACATACACATGCACACGGAAGAAGTTACTTGGAGTAGGTTATACCTGGGGCCTGGAAACAGAAATCTGAGGCGCCCTCCTCCCTCAATTTGTGGCTTAGGTGGAGGCACGGGTCCAGGCAGAACTGGTGTTTCTTTTTGGGTACCACAGAAGGGAGGAGGACTCAGGCACACCCAGAAAAGTGGCCACACCCAGGAGGATGGACTGACAAGGTTGGGAGTCCTGGTGGTGGTGGTGGGGTATATCCATGGAGGAGTCGTTTTCTGGTTGCAGAGAGACATGAGGGGAGGTCAACCTACACCGGGCCATCAGTGGGGTCTGCAGGAGGAAAAGAGAGGACGCATTGGCTGGACCCACATGCCCATTTTACAGCCGGGAACGGTGAAACTTACAGTATTTCCGGTACAAGAGCCATAAGTACAATAAGGGACCGGATGGCATTCCTTCCATGGGAAATCCATTTCCTCTCCTCTGCTCTCTCAGTGACCCCTCCCCACCCCTCCTCCATACACACACTTACCAGTGGGGGCTGCTGTATGTCTCTGCTGCCGAAGAGGGAAGGTAAAATAGGCATCATAGCCAAAGAGGCAGGTAGCGAGGAGACCCAGGACCTGGAAGTGCACACAGGACTGAGGACTGACCTAGCTGGTCAGCCAGCCTACTGCCCTTCTTACCTCCCTGTGGTCACCACCTCCAGCGACTCCCATGCAGGGTGGTGACTCAAGCCCCTGCCTGGGAAACCAGGCAGGCCTAGCGAAAGGCCAGGGGGACTGAAATCTATCCCATCTTTCTTCCTAGCTCCTCTCAACACAGGGCAGCCACACCCCACATGGAGGGGA